GCCAGAACGCCATTCCTGGGACTTCAACACCGCGAAACAGTGTAACTTTCGCGCCCGCGTAAGCCAGAAGCCGTTCAACACACACTATCTGGTACGTTGATATTGGAATCCGTGAAACTCTTGCACAGTTTATAAACGAATGTTCGCGGCGCTGAGCCGAGAGCCACATGTTGAAGGAACCGCTCTCAATCCGTGAAACTCTTGCAGTTTTTCCCCATATCCTGAGATGGGGTTCTTGTTATTACTTGGACGCCTCCTCCTCCTTGTCCTCCTCCTCCTCCTTCCTCTTCACGTCCCCTCCTCTTCTCGTCTCCTCATACGAGACTTACTCATGTCCAGACTTATTCACACACAGACTTACTCATACTGAGACCTACTCATACTCAGACTTACTCATACCCAGACGTACACATACACAAACTTACTCATACACAGACTTACTCATATTCAGGCGGGCCTCAGGTGGGGCGCTGGTTTCAGCACCCCTAAGGGGAGCCGCCAGGGGTGGTTGCACGGGCCCGTTCGCGGCCAGTTGGTGGGGATGTCTCAGGCGGTTTGCTCGTTTTCATGCCCAACATCCTTGGCTTGCACAGCAGATCTTGAGGATGTCTCAGGCGGGGCGCTGGTTTCAGCACCCCTAAGGGGAGCCGCCAGGGGTGGTTGCACGGGCCCGTTCGCGGCCAGTTGATGGGGATGCCTCTGGCGGTTTGTTCGTTTTCATGCCCAACATCCTTGGCTTGCACAGCAGATCTTGAGGATGTCTCAGGCGGGGCGCTGGTTTCAGCACCCCTAAAGGGGAGCCGCCAGGGGTGTTTGCACGGGCCCGTTCGCGGCCAGTTGGTGGGGATGCCTCTGGCGGTTTGTTCGTTTTCATGTCCAACACCCTTGACTGTCAGAGCAGATTTTGAGGATGTCTCAGGCGGGGCGCTGGTTTCAGCATCCCTAAGGGGAGCCGCCAGGGGTGTTTGCACGGGCCCGTTCGCGGCCAGTTGATGGGGATGCCTCTGGCGGTTTGTTCGTTTTCATGCCCAACATCCTTGGCTGTCAGAGCAGATTTTGAGGATGTCTCAGGCGGGGCGCTGGTTTCAGCACCCCTAAGGGGAGCCGCCAGGGGTGTTTGCACGGGCCCGTTCGCGGCCAGTTTGTGGGTATGTCTCAGGCGGTTTGTTCGTTTTCATGCCCAACATCCTTGGTTGTCAGAGCAGATCTTGAGGATGTCTCAGGCGGGGCGCTGGTTTCAGCACCCCTAAGGGGAGCCGCCAGGGGTGTTTGCACGGGCCCGCAGAGCAGAGTTTGAGGATGTCTCAGGCGGGGCGCTGGTTTCAGCACCCCTAAGGGGAGCCGCCAGGAGTGTTTGCACGGGCCCGTTCGCGGCCAGTTGGTGGGGATGCCTCTGGCGGTTTGCTCGTTGTCATGCCCAACATCCTTGGCTTTCAGAGCAGATTTGGAGTCAAAGCTCATCCTGGCTCATACTCACTCACTCGCATTAGGATTCGCTCGTCTTCGTCGGCCCTGTCGCCCACGTGGACACTTTATTATAGTCAAGCGCTCATGAACAGACGCTCACTATGGCATGACATAAAACATGAGATGCACATACGGGGAGCTCCACGCAGTGAGTAATTAAACGAACGTGCGCAACGCTAAGGCGAGACCCACATGTTGAAAACAACTTGCCCTCAATCCGTGAAACTCTTGCACACGTTCAAAAAGAATGTTCGTGGCGCTGAGACGAGAGTCAAATGTTGAAAAGGACTCGCCCTCAATCGGTGAAACTGTTGCAGATCTTTACGCATCAGAGTCATAAGTGGTGAGGAAACTCAGGCGAGACGCCCGGTCTGCCCTGAAAACTGGCGTCGGGGAGCGACAGGGAGAAGTTGTTCATAATGAACAGAGCTGAGGGGGAGGAAGATGAGGAGGAGGAGGAGGAGGAGGATGAGCTGGAGCTGGCGGAGGAGGAGGAGGAGGAGGAGGAGGAGGAGGAGGAGGAGGAGGAGCTGGAGCTGGAGGAGGAGGAGGAGGAGGAGGAGGGGGAGGGGGAGGAGGAGGAGAGGAGGAGGAGGAGGAGGAGGAGAGGAGGAGGAGGAGGAGGAGGAGGAGGAGGAGGAGGAGGAGGAGGAGGAGCTGGAGGAGGAGGAGGAGGAGGAGGAGGAGGAGGAGGAGGGGGAGGGGGAGGAGGAGGAGTAGGAAGAGGAGGAGGAGGAGGAAGAAGAGGAGGAGTGAGGCCCGCGTCTTATGCGACAGACTAAGATGTCGAACGTCTGGTTGCATGGATGTTGATGTGGTTTGTGGAGCAGGTGCTGGAGGAGGCGGAGGAGTTGGAGGAATGATCAGGAGGGGAAGGAGGTGCTGAAGGCGGTACAGGAGGTGGTGGAGGTGAAAGAGGTTGCGAAGGAGGGGCGAGGATGGGAGGGGGGAGCGCGTTTGCGGGCTGCAGGCTCGGGGCAGGGGCCGGAGGGTGCGGGAATAGGGGGCAGGATCCTGCTTCTTCTCTCGGGGG